TTGGTCAGGGCTTTATTTCTCATTCCAAAAATACATGTCTTCGATAAATAAACTTCCATCGACACATAGCTCCTTCGTCAAGAATTCTGTTTTGCTTGCATATAAGTTGTTAGCATAAAGTAAGCGAAGATCAGTGCCCACATAAATACCACTTCTCACAAACTTATATTCATTCCGTCAACATGTGTATTAATTGAAATACATTGATATGGTGACATGCGCACCAAATCTGTGGATGTTGCTGGTTAATGGATTCTACAGTTCCGATTATTCTCAAAATGTCTGCATTTTTACACGGATCTTAACATTTGCATGGACGAATGCGTGGATTCGACATCAGTAATTCATTACTACAGAGGCAACGATATTACATTAATTTTCTAAAGTAAAATTTCTGCATTGGTTATCACTTCTAGCATATTAACAAAGAAGTATAAATGACTTAATTGGTGAGAAATTAGAACCATCTTTTGACGTTGTAATAAGCACTGCTTCAGACAAAGTTTTCATTACAGTGAATGTGTTCAAGTTATATAAATACCCTTTGTTTTATACTTTAACGTACAATATCAGGTCAAGAAGTATACAAAAAATTTTAGTCATGAGAAAACAACAAAAAATACCAATATTTTCGTAGCACCAATAACTAGAAATAGGACGGTGAATTCTAAATCATTGAAAACAATGGTGATCCATCAAGGATGAGCAGACTTCTTTTTTTAAATATCGTTCACTTCTTAAATAACTGATACACGATATTTAGAAAGACCGGAAATCAAATGTTGTAACGGATAGTACCCACTGGAATTAGATAAAAAAATATCGATTAAAACTAAAAATACCAAACTCTTTTCCTCGCTTATGAAGAGTAATAACCAAAAATCTCACTCTTATTTTTTCACCTATTCACTAGTGACTGAATATTTTGCTTCAGTTGTCAGAATGCAAAGTATTTTCACAAAAACTCACAATAATATGAAAATAATTAAGCGACAGCAACCGTGTATTGATGAGAACATAACTTCAGTCCTTTTTGATGAACCAAAAATCGAGTGAAATTTCCTAGCAAAAATTTTAGCTTTTCAACTTTGCTCATTATGTCAAACACTACAAATCTGACTGTGTACTTTTTACATATTTTTACGTAGCTTTGAAGGAAAACGTCTCATTTTCAGTGAAACCTTCAAAATTTGATTTTAATCACAAGCATTTTGCTTTGTAAAATGCAACCTCCTAATACTCTTTTGTCCTCCTAACTTATTTATCATGTAGTGTACACCTTGATTCCATCCCTGTAGAATTCATTCATTCTCTAACTAACAATAATACTTTCCCTCTTTTGCTTTGACACTTAATTCTTCATTTTCGCTCACTTCTTTAGCTTATGTTACAAAGTAGAAGAAATGAAAACTTCTGCTATTCTTCACAATCGATCAATCAATAATATATGAGAAAAGATGCGGTTTTAATTCACAAAATGGTGACGAAAATTGGTGCATCTATCAGTGTAATTTTGTTTGCGCGTACAGCAAACGTGCTTTATTTCTTGATCTGGTTTTTTTTGTTAGTTTATTTGGTGCACAATAAATTATAGTTTTCTCAAAAGTTAAGAAGTTTATTTATGTAAAAGAAATACTGCAAATGATCCCCGTGTAATTGGTAGGCTCATACAAGAGTAATCAATACAGTATTGAAGTTGGTAAAAAGTTGAAAACGAAAAATGAAATTTAAAAAAAGTCAAGAGCATATCCTGACAAACACACTGCGTTGGCTTGGCAGCAAGCAATAAACACTTTCTAGCAGATGTAATGAGGTAAATACAAGTCAAAATAGCAATTGCATACTCATTCATTTGACAACTGCACTACTCATTCACTAACTAAAGCTAATTTACCAACTAGCTTACTTATTTAACCACCCTGTTAACTGTAATAATGCTAAGATCCTTCTATGTCAATAGCAATACCAAAAATGCCTTTTTCTCTACTTCCTTTCTTACCATTTGTCATCATTGGACCAATTTCCATGTTGACCATGTGGTGTTCTTACGATTAATTTCTGCATCTGAAAATATTTCTTTTTCCTCTTCAGTTTAAAAGCTGATTTTCAGATATCATTTATAAGCCTTCTATTTGTGAGTTGTCGAGTTCATAGCTCTCTAAACATTATTAGTTTTTTAGACATGAATGAATGGCTTTTTTGATTGATACTGCTAATTTTATTATATACTACTATTACATTAATTTATAGCGGCGATATTAACAATTGCAGCCATTCATTGCTAATATCATTGCTATAAATATCCTCTTATTATTACTTAGAGATATAACAATTGTTTTTTCAATATTCTTATTATCTTTTCTTTTTTCTTCAAAAATTTTGCTTTTTGTAAAATTTGTTGTCTGTTTGCGATGATTTGCTCTTCAAAATCAACGTTATATGTTTACAGCTTATTAAAGTGCTTTTGGAATGATTTCTGATCATTTCAGACTTATAATTAACATGATTTGAAAATGTAGACAATAATTTCAAGTTATGATTCATCATGCACAAAATCAAGCGTGAAGATATAAAATTGTTGCTATTATGACGCATATTGAAAGAATCATGATAAATTATGGAAAAATTAAATTAAATGCTAAACACCATTCACTGTTTTGTATGAAGCTTATAAATATAGCAGATTAGCCAAATAAATTTATAATATGACCCTAAAATAGTTAATGAAACATAGCATATAATTAAAACAGTGACACTAATAACAATCAGTATTAATAATTTTGTGCTGACCATTCATATTTCCATAGCACGATCCACAACATGTTTTGTATATGGTGATAAATCAATTTTAGATTTTTATTTTAATTTATATGGCTTTTCCGCCTGGTTCTCTAATACCACTTTAATCATGTAAAATCCAACTTAATACCTGATTATGGCATTTCAGTATTATAATTCGGTTGCAAAATATCTTTGTCACATTCAAAAATGAATGCATGGTTTGCTGTGGATAAAGAAGCTTCATAATGATAATATTTAATGTATACTTTCTACAAATAAAATTTAAAAAAAAAGCAATGAAGTATATTGTTTGTCTAAAATCAGTTTTGTCTAAAATCAGTTTGTCTAAAATCAGTTTATTGTTTGTCTAAAATCAGTTTTGGTGAATTGATGAAGACTTAAAAATATGTTCAGTACTTCATTCATTGCGCTGCACTCGGTCTCTTTTCTTGTATTACATCAAATCATTCAAACTCAACATGATAAGCCTTTCCACAAGTTCCTGACTTTAAGATCCATATATTATTCTAAGTTTTCTATGCAGTGCTTAAACCAGTAATTATCACTTTTTTTCATCGTTCATCATGGCTTTATCAATGTTGTCAGTGCATACTTGTCAAATAAAAGTGTGATATTTGATGGAATCAGTACAATTTAATGTCAATATATATATATAGCACATCACTAAACAGATAAGTTCGAATGAAAAGTTCATGAAATATTGTAATTATTTTTGGTTAATAATAGATTGAGTTGAAGTTCGCTGCAGCCGATCAGTCAATCTAACGCAAATAATCAACATTCCACTGAAGTCTGCGAGTTTTTGGCATGAAGTCTTTCATATAATTAGGATGTTGAAGATGATCGAAATGAACTGAAATTTCAACATCTGAGTTTCGAATCTGTTACCATGTCTTTTTTCTTTTTTCATCCTTCATTTATAGCAGCAATAATTAAGCAATGACAACAATATTAATTTTAATTCATTTAAATATTTTACATTTTTAAACTCCATTTAAAATAGAAAAAAAATAATGTCATTTGTTTTACACTATATCAATGTGCAAATTTACCAGATTTATGTGAAGCAATAATCTGTTCATTCTCTGGCAGTGTAATATCAAAATTGGTCATCCTCTTTCCGAACCTGAAATAAAAAATTTCTATAGCTATTTTAATTCATTATTATGAGGAAGTTTCGCTTGTAGGTAGTGTTATTCAAAATTATGGCTTTTCTGATAAATGGACTCTCTAATGAGATATAAGATGTGGCTTCGAAAATGGGAAATAAAATACTATTAAGTCAATGCAGAAAATTTATTCATTAAGAAATTTTTTGTTGCTTAAACAGTTCAAAGTTACCTGACGAGAGCATTTCTCATAGCGGATCGATCGAATCGTACCAAATTGCCACGCACCGCACGTTTTTCTTCTCTGTAATAATTAAGTATAATGCGAAAAACGCAACAATAAAATTCTCAAAATCGCAGCATATTTCTTTTTTGTTCTACAATTTAATTCAGTTATAATTTTCAATGAACTTTCATATTTAAAAATAATTTTGACAATTTGTTGAAGTATTGTTTGTATTTATATTGTAGTATAAGAAAATCATGCATCAAACCTTTTCATTAAAACTGAATTAAGCAGTTGTTTTGAACGTTTTTTGTGCTCATAACTTTTGAATTTTTATTTACCCTATGAATTTTATAATAATATTGAAATTAAATTTTTATGTATAAAAAAAGTCATCTTGTTTCAATTCTAACTAGAACTTTGCAAAAATCTTACATGAAAATATGCTAATAACAGTAATCACGTACGATGTTTTCTCTTCATAAACATTTATTGTAGTAATTTGTGCAAGAAAGCAACTGAATAAAAGTATACAAATGTGGGTCGGACGCATTTCACAGCTTCAGTAGTTATGTACGATTATCTCTTTAATATTCTTTTTCATCCACCAAAATAGTAAGATCTATCTGCTTGAAGTTCCTTCTCGATCAAACGAATACCCTAGACGATACGAATAAACTATAATATAATATTTTAATTTGATTTCTGCAATGAAAACTTGTATGATAGATCATACATAGAAGATTAAAAAATTCGTAGAAAGCAACTTTTGTTTAATTTGATTTTTGAGAGTGATAATTTAGCAATGTTTAAATAATGATTGCTAATTGACTTATCTAAAATTATATATAACTAAAATTTATTATTTCTATAAAGACAACACACTCATGCAAATTAATCCTAATAAAAAAAATAAATAAATTTTGCTTTTGACATTTCTATCAGTCTTTACTATGCCTGCTTGCACTAATTAGATAACTGATTTCAAAGTAATCAAAATAAATAGTAGTTTGCTGACGCAACTTGTGAAGGCAACAATTTTTCCACATCAATCGTTTTGCATAACTTTACGTGCAAGAAAAAATATTTGCTGGAAGCTATTAAAATTTATTTAATTTTTTTTAATATCATGCATTCAAAAATGCTTTATAGAAGCAATTTAAATTTACTTCATTTGTTTTAAAATATCAAGCAACGAAAATAACTTAAATTCACTTCATTTTTTTTAATATTGCAGTAATCGTTATTGAATTTGTAAGCTTGAAATTCTGATAAGATCAGCAAAAGCTGTATTTGAGAATGAAATTTGAGAATTTTGTAATGCTTCAATTGTTTTTTCGGGCATAGTTACGCTGCACTACCTAAGCTCAAAAGCAAGAAGTATTTAAAATTCAAACTGCCAAAAGGCATTTGCAGATTTTGCATTAAAGAACAAATTTGATCTACGCTCCAAAATTATTCTTGAAACTTGTAGTTTTCTAAATAATTTTCGAGCTTACATCAAACTTCTGCCTGCTGAATGAATTGAATGGATTGTGAATAATATTCCTTGATGACTGATTTTGATGTTCTGAAATATTTCGCGTGGCTAAATTAAACACACAAAGGACTCCTTAAAACTATGAATAATATTGCAATAACTTCAAAGTTCTGATGATCTAACGTAATTTAGAATTTATAAGGGACTAACTTCAAGAACTAGAGAAGCTATAATTCTTTTGTCATATTAACTAAGAAAAATTAAACATTTGATGTGTGGAAGTACGACTTTCAGTATTTAACAAATCAAACATTTAACCAAATAAATATATATCAAACAAATTATTCTAAAAGAGTAAAATTTATTTTGATAGCTGTAAAACAAACATTGCAGCAAAATGCGTTCAAAAACGCTTAAAAGTATGAATTAAACAATGAATGCACAGCTATTTTCATTTATAACAGAACTGCATCAAATCTTATCAAATTCCCAATTTTTTTACAAACATTCATGTTGAGTAATTCAACGTATGCTAAAATAAATTTAACTTTGCTCTTAAAAAAATATTCAATTACAGAAGTTTGTAGTTTTGATTTCGAAAATTAAATAAATTGATTCAAAAATGCAGTATGAAATTTTAATTGTGAGTTTTACTTGAAAAACAGAAACTTTAGAAATATGACTTATGGTTGCATTTAGATATAATCGACAACAAGTGAAGTTATGTTACAAAGAGTTCTTATTTTTATATCAACAACAGGATTTTGATGCAAATTGCAGTGACATAAAAAGTTGAATAATTTGTCAGGTTAGACAAGTTTTCCAAAGATTAATGGACATGCAAATTGTTAGCCTCAAAATGTTATTAAAAAATTAAGAAGAATATTGCTTTTATGGAAAATGTGCAAAATGTTGAGGTTTTTTGGAACTTGAAAAATAAATTCACAGTTTTTAAATGAGCATGTAAAAACATGAAACGCAAACTGATACTGGGATAAATTATTTGTTTCAGGTCATATTTAAAATCTTTTCTGCGATTTCAAAGTCATTCTACTTTCTTAGAAATATTAATTACAATAACAAAAATATCATTTTCTGATATTTTAAGTTTTTAACCAATCAAAGATAAGTAATAACTATAAGAAATTAAATTACCACACAAGCAAATTTAAAAAAGTGGAATTAAGTAGTAGGGCATTAAATCTAGAAAAAATGATCAATTATAATTGTGAATGATAACGTAAAAAAGCATTCATGGTACAAACATTTCACTTTAGTAGCAATAAGGGTAATATTATCACTGATATCAAAAGAATTCTACAAATATCCAATAATACCGAAAGTTCGAATTTCGTGGTAGAAGTTTTTTGAATGAATCTTCTAAAAGGATCTAAAATAGCCGTGTTCAAGTTTTTTCTTTTTTGTATTTCAGTATCTTTAAATTTTTTTGAAATTTAAAATACAAAACGAATTTTTTCAAAATCTGTATAATTTTCTGAAAATTCTCATTTTAAATATATTTCTACACAATAGTGTTCATTCTTCAACAACATAAAATTGTGAAAAACAAAATTTCACTAAAAGAGAAAAAAATAAGCAGTTAAGTACTTGAAGTTAAATATTAGTTAGTTTTTATATTATCTAACAAAAGTTTTGTTAAATTCCAAAAAAATTGAATAATAGATTAATAGTGATTAATTTCACCAACATTTTTTACAATTTCTGATTTTTTTTGTTCCAAATTTTGATTTGCTCAGAAATAAATTTGAAAAAGTAAAAAGTTATCTTCAATATCTTTTTGTAACTTTTTAAATGATCGCCTTTTTGCATACTATTTGCCTAGAATCCCAAACATACTATTTTGGTGACGCGAAAGCATGGTAATTTCAAGAAATCAAAGATATTCCATTTTCTCATAACATAATAAAGCAAAATAACATTTCTATCTGATTCTGATTGTTTTTCTCTCATAAAGCAACAATTTTAACAAAATTTTTACATTTCAGTTTCTAATAGTTCTTTTTATTTATTTCAGCTACTTATTTACTGTATTTACAACGATATGAAGTAAAATTAGATGATTAAAAATGAAAGACACCTTTAACCACATGGCGTGTATTTTCTATAAAACAGAACAATCATATTTTCCAACATAATAGTAAACGATAGTTCAATACTGAAGTTTGGTACACCATAAATTAAAAATTTTTACTACTGCAATTAATGCATATTGAGCAATTTGTTTTGTCTGTTTCAAGTATAAATTTGTGTAAGTAAACAATTAACAAAAAAAATTCGTACTAACTCGTTTGTTTCAATCATCTACAGTTTTGCTACTGTGCATTTGCTCACAAAAATATAGACATTATTCATTTCAATAATGAGCTAAATAATTTACAGAAACTAAGGACAGTTCTCAAGCTTAAACTGAAAGACTAATTGAAAATGTTAACTTGATTACAATGTCATGCTTGTCAGGATATTAAATCCTTTTAAAAAGTATTTTCATACTTTTTCAAAAATCATTTCATTTGAATATTTCTTTTATGGTGAATCCAGTTTAATAAACTGTTTGTATGTATATGATGCTTTTAAAAGGATTGCATCTTTGCAGTGAAAAAAATGAATGGCAAAGGAGGGTAGGAACAAATAAATTT